TACCTTCGACTCTGTATTAAACTTTGTATAAAATAAGCGTAAGCGTGTAAATGGTCTAAACGTAGCATGCGCAGGGAATACACGGGGTATATTTGTAGCGTAGTTTTTTTATTGAGACCGGTTGGCCGAATGGAGAAAAATTGGCCATTTGAAATACCAGAAATGAAACGGACAAGTGAATTTGATAACAAAAATGAATGAATGATTTTATTTACATGTATGAGTTAGTGATAATCTGTTGTAATCATGTCAAAATGGATAAAATGCATTACAAACACATAACCTCACTTCTTTGAATTGAATGAGACTTTGATGTGGAATAAAAAATGTTGTGTACAATGTTTGGAGCAGATTTTTTGTGTTTGAATTATTCTTGTACAAATTTATCAGTAAACAAAAAATCTGCCTTAAAGCTTGAGGCTCAAGCCTTGAGCGAAAAGTGAAGCGAATTTTTTTCTTGTTATCGGCGAGCAGATATTGTGACGTGTATCAAATGAAGATAAAACAATATGATATTTTGAATATTAACATTAATGTGCACCTACAATTTCATTATCTGACATGAAGCTTGCATTTAAGTACTTTGTTCAACAGCTTTATTAAAAAGTTAATAAGATCCATCTTATTATTAATAAGATAATCTTATTAAAATATTAATAAGAAAATCGGATTTTACTTACCAATTTTCAAAAAAAATTGCGAAGAAAAGTTTCATACTAAAAATATATCAAATATCGTCAAACGACGAAATATTGAAGAAAAATGCATCTGACATACTAAAAACAGCTATTTGATATGTTTTTAGTATGAAACTTTTCTTTGCAATTTTTTTTGAAAATTGGTTAATAAAATCCGATTTTCTTATTAATATATAAATATAATCGCGATCGTTATGACTTGGTGTCTGTGGCAAAGTTGTAGTACTCGACCTGCTCTACATTTTTGTCGAAGAGGCAAGTCTCTTACTTCTTATCGGCTTAACTAAAACGAGGTGGGAAAATTTCATATGATTACCCGCCACACGATTCCCGCTACGACACCGAAAGTCCGGATTTTCACTGTTCATTAAACAGGTCACATACGATGCAATCCGACAGGCTTTGTTCAATGTTGAGCACTACGACAAGGTGTGCCTCGAAAATATGCTTCGATCAGCTGGTGCTATGCTTCTATCGAGTTGGGGCTCCCAGAACTATAATCAGGTATGTTGGAATAGCTCTGAAAAACTAAATTTCGTCGAAAATCCATGTCCATTTTTCTTCTCAAAAGATAGTGGCATTCACACATTGTGGCGTTGGCCTTGGAACGACATCTCTGCATAGCACAATATCCACATTGATAGCGCAGAATGCATCAAAAGCGGCGCCGACATCATCGACCAATATGCCAAAGCCACAGTTTCTGCAAAACGAAACGTCCAGCGAGAGTTGGATTCCATTTTCAGGTCTGAGCAAATTGAGCTTCATTTGTCTGGGCTCAACAGCTGAGCCATACTTTCAAACGGCAATCGAACTGTACCAGCAGCTTCTGGATGTAAGCGGTCAGAAGGGACAACTGTTTGTTGCTCACGTTGAATCCGAAGCCAGTAAAGTCATTAAGAGTACATACAATGGAGACGCAGCAGCCTTTCCAACCACATCACAATGGAAGAATGAAATTATCACGCGGCTCATTGACGAAATGTGCGAAATTAACTATAAACCATTTGAAGCCATTCTGAATTGTGGCGAATACCATAAGCTCGAATCACCAATTGTCATTTGGCCATCGCCAATGGTAAGCTTTACTTGAAAATTCGACGGAATTTTTTTTCCAACAAATTTCAATGAAAGATATGGCGAATATCAAGTAAACGACTTTCTTTGTCACATTCCAGCCGTACGATGATGAGAGAGAACCACCAAAAATGATATCACGAACTATAACCGTGTGTGGGTTTCTCAATTTAGCCGATATTGGTTCGCCAATGTCGGTGAGTCGTCATCTAATACTGCCGAATGAGAATTTAACCACAGCTCGGCCACAAGGAACGACCGATGCCGAAAAATTGGAGAACGACATCAAGTCGTTTTATTCAAAATCAGAAGAGGATGACCGATCCGACCATAATAAATCCACCGATGAGTCTGCTTGTGTGCTGCTACACGGTGCCTTGAAATTTGAAAATCTAGCGGCAGTTGTTGTTCTCAACGATGACTGGTTTGGTTTTCTGCACTCATATTCAGACAGCAAACGAAAATCAAATATCATCTTAACGATTTTACCACCAGGTAAACAGCAGTTAGTGTCTGCCAGACACGTTGTTTTTAAGTTGAATGAAAAACGCTCACTCTTGGTAATGAAATCATGTTTTCGTAGGCAACGACAATATCCCATGGTTGGGCGACTTTCGATTCTTTGCCACGGCTGACGAAGCGTTACCGGGAGAAAATTCCCAATTTCCCATCAAACCCGACAAGAGAAGTTATTCACAGAATTGCGTTGTCTGGATCAAACAGGCTGGCTTGCAATCGGACATTCAGAAGTTATTGCGACACGCCAAAAAGTTGCCAGAGAAAACCCAGCAATTTTATAAGGTACGAGCTAATTTCTATGCAGAGTTACCTCATGAAAGCAATTGTGAAAATTACAAATAATTCCAAGAATTAAAAATTCTTGAATAATTCAAATTAATTTTCAAATCATAAAGAGATTAATTCAATATTTGATTAAAATGCCATTACGTCGAACATTTTTGCAGGAGCTCAATCGCATCAGAAGAGCAGCACTTTCCTTGGGATTTGTTGAACTATTGGACGCGCTTTCAACATTGTTTGAGCGAGAAGCATTGTTACTACCTCAAAATGTCAGTCCAGATTGTGGCATTCAATTAAAACACTCGGCTATTGAACTGCGGAAACTTTCGAATCGAGACCTTAAAATCTCCCTATCACCTCATCCAACAAAACACAATCATCTTATGTAATAAAAGTAGTGGATTAAGTGCTCATTTCATTCATGAAACTCTATTTTTAAATTAAATAAATCAATTGACGAAAAAAAACAAGATTTTTCCTTTAATCAAATTAATTTCATAACGTTTTACATCGATTTGAATCGTGCTAATTTCCCTTCACATTTTTTCGCGTGTGAGTGTAGTATCCTGCGATGTTTCCATGAGAGCAGAGGACGCCACACGTCTGTCGGGCGAATCAAGCAGTTGATTTGGCATTTTGTTTTGGCGTCATTTAGACGCTTCTATTGATTATCATTTGGCTGTACTTCGTTGACTGCTTTGTTGGAAACAGAAAAGAAGGGAAAAAAGCTCGAATTTAGTGTTAGATATGAAAGAAATTTCCTGGCATAATCGTGAGCCAGTATTGAGTGTAGATATTCAACCGAAACTATTGGAAGGTGATAATAAGATTCGTTTGGCATCTGGTGGTTTGAACACACATGTTTTGGTTTGTACTAAATTGACGCATCATTAGCTTGATACAATAACTTTAGCTCCAGACGGGAGAGTGTTTCGAAAAAAATTCATCAAAAAAACATGATTGAATCCAATAGATTTGGTACATTTTCGACAATGACGAAGGTTCGCCACAGTTAGAACTGGCATCTGATTTGGCAAGACATCAGAAATCGCTGAAGGCTGTGCGCTGGTCACCATCTGGACCAGTGCCGTCTTAGCACTTTCGGGGGCCCTCAATATTTTGAATGTTGCGCCAATTTCGATTGAATTCATACAGATGAATTCAGAGTTGTTAAACTATGCCGTTTTTCATTTATGTTTTGATTACTGCTCAATAGGGGTGATCAATTTTCAAAAAAAAGGATTCAAAATTTAATAGTGCGGGATCGAAAGATCATGAGGAGAGATGAAAATTTTGTTCCGGTGTATATATTGCCTGGTGTCACCCCGGATCTTTTTTGAAAATCACCTAAAAAATGAACATTTTTCGACATATTATCGCAATTTGCTCTAAATGTGATGCATAAACATACCGTTTTTTTGCCGTGATTCGGCAGCTCGTAACAAACTACGTTGAATAGGATCGATTTACAGCGATTTATTCCAGGATATTCAAAAAAAATAGTGTCAATTTGACAAAAATCGCCGAAATTTGTCATTTTTCTGTATATTTGCCCATTTATGGTGATCCAGTCCACTATAAATCAATCTGAAAATACCGCTATCCGACTCAGTTTGTTCCTAGCTATCGATATAACGCCATATGACAACTCAAAATGTGCCTCTGGACATGGATAGAGCAACAAATATTCGAAAATCACCTCAAATTTGGCCATTTTTTTTTCAATTAAAAATTCTAAAAGCCTAATTATAGCCAACATACTTACAAAAATGTGTCTATATCCAGCCAATTTTAGACGAGGGATCGATTTCTAGTTTCATTTGTTACAGGTTTGTGTGATTTTTGTGTCAAAAAGTACGATTTTCTGGGACCAAATTGTGCAAATCACGACCATGAGCTTCAGTTTCACGGCTAAATCACCCCATTGAGCACACAATTTCTGCCTTTGCTACCTTTGAACATCTAGTATGATCCCTCACGAACATTTTAAGTACCTACATGACCAAGTCGGGTGATATAGATATTTTCATATATTTCTAGCCGCATATTCGGTTGGTTCGATTTCAACTCTCAGAAAATCGATTTTTGGCCAAAAAATCCTTAAGTATAGGCCTTTTAGGGTGGGTGTCTTTGTGCAAAGTTATTTTTCTTCGAAAATATGGGGAGTCTTACCAGACAAAAACTCTGAAAATTGGCTTTTTGAGGTACCTCCCGAACAAAAGTTACGTTTTTCATGCATTTTGCTATGAAAATATCATTTTTTGTTCGGGAGGTACCTCAAAAATCATTCTAAAGAGCTTCTGTTTGAGAAGATTCCAAATTTTTTTCGAAAAAAATAACTTTTTGCTAAGACATCTATCCAAAAAGTGTATTTCTAGGGTACCTCCCGAGCTGTGGTGGTGACAAACCGATTGGATATGTTGCCTTATGTATGCGACGATGAATCATTCCAGTATCCCTGTCAAAAAACCGCAATGTTCTGAAATAAAAATCCATTTCGTAAGTGATCATTAAATAATTACGAACATTCTAAACAAACTACACACCGATCTGATGAGATTGTCGCCAAATACTTGTCCTTTGGATCCCAAGCGACACTATGCACAAATATGCTGTATTCCGTCAAAAAGTATTCAAAATATCCTTCCATTGCATCCCATATAGCAACCCTGCCACCAACTCTGCTCGATGCCAAATACAATGAGTCCAATGACCAAGACAAAATGAAGTATGTATTACACTATTCATAAATACTTTGACTAAGCGTATTCTATCCGTATGCTTTGCATGCGGTTCACGCTAAAAATAT